TATTTCATCCGAGGAATCTGAAGGAGGTTCCTGACACAAAAAGGTGGGCTGTCGAAAATGTTTTTCAGTGCTGCTCCCATCCATCAAAACAGTTATATCTTTTCTGAGTATTATCATTGATTTATGAAGTAATAGATGTGTCTGCTTGTGTGTCTGTGCATGTGTGCATCCATTGATGAGATTTCACACTCACCTTCCTTCTCCACTGCCCCGGAGGGAGGAGAAAGGCAGTTGTTAAAGGTAACAGGAGAAAGTAAGAACAATGAGAACCACAAGGGAAGCCCATGATGAACATGGGCAGCAGAGCAATGTCTTAGTGCTGTGTCACAGAGAGGAACAGCAGAGCCAGTGGCTTCCCATCTCCTGTAGCACCCTGCTGCAAAGACAGAGGATAACGACTCTTTATTTTGATAGGTGAGCTATAACCTAGAGTGCAAAGGACAGAATCCTCAAACTTGTACAAAACTTTGTGCTTGCTGATAGTCTTCCCTCATGGAAGTGTATTTATAATAGTGCTCGTGACTCCCTGGGACGTCTCCTCTTCACTGCACTGTGTCTTCTTGCAAAGTCTCTGTGAAAGGATTCCATCTCCCTTCCCATTTTTACAACCTGTTAAAATTATTGAGAGCCGATGTAGATAAACTTACAGCTATGCTCAGTGGAGCATCTTAGGTAAAAATGTTGGAGATGCTTTGGATTTCACCACCTGTGACAAATGAAGTCTGATAACTGTGTATGTTTAAACCTATCTAAGTCTAAATTTGAAGTTACTTCTTATTTAGTCTGCTCAATGGAATGATGAGGAACCTACACTTTGGGAACAGGTAGATTAGTATCTGAAAACTGAAAGGAGAGGTTATTCTCTGTTGTCTTGTCTGAGGGCACAGTATTTTACTCTTCAGTCTGTGTCCCGTACCGTGCCCCCCATCTAGCTCTGCTTTCAAGAAAGCTCAACCTCCCTAAAGGAAAGATTAAATATCTGATGCAGTGGAGGCAAAACCACAAATGGATTTGAGGACAAAGATGACTTTTTTTTGTTAATACTGTGATATTTTTATTTTTCTGAAAATCAAGAGATTTAAAATATGTTCTTCTTGTTAATGAATATAGGATTCCTGTTCAGATAAGATGAATTTACTGAATTGGTACGTGGCCACCAACATACACGAGCATCAACAAAGTATGACAGGGACCACATGCAAGAAGGCAGAGGCTGCTATATGCAGATGTTTGAGCATGTGAGTGAATTGCATGAGTAAGTGACTGCGTTGTGCGAACAGTTATCTGTTTTTAAAAACAACAGCTTGGTGCTACTGTTAATAACAGCTTAATCACAGAATCACATGAATAAAGGCATTCTAATAAACAATAGCTATGATCTGATTCTCACCCCAAATCAATACTCTATGAAGGGAAGGGAATTTACAACACAGAGATGTACAAAAAACAAGTCCGGCAGGAACACAAGGCCTTGAAAATGCCTGATTTATTGACGGCCAACTCCACAAGCATTGGCCATGGTTTTCAATAAGATCTGACCAGGGGTCCTGGTAAGTAAAGCTGTTTATTGAACATTTTGCTGAAGTTCGTCTGAAGAAAGGATTAGTTTTTACGATGATCTGATGATGCAACACAATCTCCCTCCCTTCAGTAGTGACTGTCTTCTCTAGCACCAGGACTTGTTAGAGAAGCCAGGCCACCCAAAGTGTTTTTCTGCCTAAGAAAGACCACCTGGAATTAGAGTGAATTAGTCTGTCGTTATGTATAATTATACTCTACTTTCAGTAAGATTGAAATTGTTCTGCTGAGCCTTGGCTGCCTGCAGTTCTAAGAAATGATGACCTTGAAACTGTTAGGAGACCACTGAAATGAATTCACTTCAGTAGCTTTCACAGTTCTTTGAGCAAAACAATTCCTGGTCATTCTGGCAAGGACTTACTCTAAATTGTGGTTCCAGAAATGGAAGACATAAAAAAAAATAATCTAATAGACTAAAGCAGCTAGACAGAATTTTCTATTTACTCTCAAACCTATCTATATTGGAAAAGGGCTACAGTGAGATTAATGCATTAACTTTTCATTTCTGAATCTGGTTTTGATGCCACTAGAGGACTGAGAATTATTTAACTCCAGCTGTTTTGATACATCATTCGTGAACTGGATGACTGTTGTTTGTACAGTAAGCAAGCAGCCACATAAAATCATTCTTAAATGAATTCAGTGCAGCGCTACCACCGGTAAAGGTTGATCTCTTCAAAAGATAAAAAATTTACATGCTTTACTGAATTTGTTAGGAACATGGTTATTGCAGAGAGTAGCTAGAGGTCAGACTTTACATTTATGAGCTATAACTTCTGCTACTACAAACCTTAAGAAGGTTTATATTGGCTCCACTTGTTCATTCACTTTTTGCTACAAGTCGCAATCCTTGCTTCTGCTGGAAAACCACAAAACAAATCTAAACTGGAATCTTGACTTAAGCAGCCCAGAAAATACAACTTACTGCACTTTGAGTGGTCCTCGATGGCAGCTAATGCGCCCTTGTCCCTCTGAGGATGTCACACAGCACATCGCGTGGTCACCCAGCAGCCAGGAGAAATTACTCAGATGAGCTTAGGTGCTGGCTTCTGCCGTGACTTCGCTGTACAGCCCTGCACAAACAGCTTCGGCTCTCAGAAACCGCTTTCAGCGCTTCCTTTAGGCTGTGCTGAGTGTAACTGAGTTAGAGACTCTCTGTCTCATGGTCTGCTTAGCTCGTAACATAACGGGTCCTGATAGCTGTTGATACTTATTAAAACTGCTATAAATGACCTTTTCTAGGTCACACGTAATTGGAGGCCAATGTGCACAGAAAGATTTACAAACTGTTATTAGGTTGCTACAACATCACCTTACTACTATTAGTGCTCTACTGCAAGCAACTATTGTCACTTGCATCATTTTGGTAAGTGTTGCTGCTAATATCGTTTACATAAAAAGAGATAAGTAACTGTCTGAATAAACTTAGCCCCGCCAACTGCATTTCACCAGGAATAATTTGCACGTGGTCTAGACCTTGGGCACAAAGAAAGGCGCTGCTTGATGGCTGGCTTCTGAGACGCGGCATTTGCAGAAAACCTACCTGACAGTTCACAGCCAAGAAGTTCCATTCTCAACGTGCAGTGTCTTCTGCACACCTGAGGATACAGCCGTATGTACTGCGACTTAATCGGAGGGGTGAAGGAGTTAGCGTACGGGGTGTTGTTGTCCACATTTCCACGAAACACCTGTGATAAAATGACATACTCATAAAAACACGCCTGGAGGATTACTGGAGGTTCAGTTGACTTCCATATCTCAAAAATATCTTCATTGTTCTTCTGCCTGTCCCTGCACATTTCTCTGGAAGCTTTTCCCAAACAGAGGCTGTTTTATCATTTCTATTGCCCAACATAAAAGTTCTTAAGCAAAGCATACTACCATTGGCTTGCATCAGCATGTGTTTGCCACCAGTGCTGAATCGGGGCCTCTATCTTGTCACTCCTAGAAACTAATGCAACCAAATTATGTCTTCTTTTCTAATTAGTGTATTAAACAGTCCCAATTCAATTCAACCTGAATTTATTTATGCTGATTGACATTTGTTTTTTCCTCTACTTCAAGAACCTGACGCAACTCCCACTGAAGTGCACTGTAACCCTCCCACTGATCACAGGGGGAGCTGAATTAAAGCTATAAGCATTCTTCTATTCACTCCTCACTCTAACCAGATAAGCTTGTACTTTGTTTTCTTCCCTCATTATATACCTCTTCACACAGTATTTTAATTTCCTAATAGAGAAACTACGCCTAATGCTGCAATGTGCCTTAGTTCTATCTCAACTTACAGAGTAAAGGGATTTTTGCTGCTTTGAATGCACAACTCTATAAAAAAGAAGTGGTAACTATAAACACGTACTTCCCACTGGACGATACTGCTTGTGCAGTACAGAGATTAGCATTGATGAATGGGTTCTATGTTTTTAAGGGTTAACACTAATCTGCCGATGTAATAAAACTAAATTGAAAACAGAGTAATAAGTAATTACTGGTAAACTAATTAAAAAGAAAATCAGTTAAGTGTAATAAACAGGATTATTCTAGCCTTGGGACATAGTATTTATACAACCATCAATTAGTGTATAAGAAATTCTTAGCAGACAGAAAGCGCAAATTTATAAATGAGGGGTTTTTTTCAGAGAAAAAAAATAACAAGACAACCTATATCATACTGTCAGGCAATTATGCTTATCTACTGTAGATACCTCATACCTCTAAAGGCAACTAAACCATAAGATGTATTCATACATAGTTGACTTAATCTTACCATATCTTCATTTGTGCCTTTTACTTTGTACATTGTCCACGACTTCCCATCATTACTGTATGCAATTTTGTAAGATTTTACATATTCTGGACTTCCAATCCTTTTGGCACCTTGAGTTATAACTCCAGTGACTCGCATCTTCTTCTGCAGATTTATCTGAAATAACAGTACAAGGTTATCACTAACCACCTGAGGGATACAATTCTGATTCTAGATTCCTTTGATTCAACTTTTTTTTTTTGTTTTAAATGATAGAATGGAAAAAACTTAGCTGTGGCATTTAAAATACTCTCACTATACACTTGCATTAATTCCTTCTATCTTTTGTTCAGTTCATGTATGTATGCACACAAATAAATGAAAAAAAATGAACTAAAAGCCTGTACTACATTTATGTCTTTATGTGTATGTGTACACACGCACACACACACACACACACATTATTGTTATATAGGATATTAGTGGTATATTACTGGGATATAGCGTATTACTGGTATATAAGATTACTGTTAGATATTTTCTTCCTAAAAAGGAAATGCAAAAGTACAATAATTTACCAAAGGCCGAATCTTCTGTTCTATTAGAAGCCAGTTTACAATCCCATAGAAAAAAGCCTACGTTAACTTCAGGTTAAATTTCTTTGTGAAAGTAATAATACATGGATGTTCTGTAAAGGAAACAGATAGGCCCCTCTTTGATTCTCACTGAAAATTCATATATCGAAAGATCATGTTTGAAATGCTAATCCCAAAACAGTCAATAGCAAAATATCGATGGCTATCAATGGATATGAACATTCCCTGCGTACCTGTCCGAGTTGACATCTCAACAACTTGAAGTACAAAAGAAGATGTATGGAGAGTACAACAATATTCGGAGAACCTTAATTTTGCGTCCTTTGTCCATCTATGATATAGGAAAGCCAACTATATTCTCACAAAACTGAGAATGTGATATTCAAATCAAACACTGCCGGCATCGTCAGCCTCATCCCTTCAACGAAGTCAATCATGAAGCAATCTGCCAATCGCACTCACGGTCTCTCGCTGGTAGGCAGCTGAAGTCTGTAACGTTTGCACCAAATGGAGCTTAGCAAAGAGCTGTCATACTGTGAGAATTGCGTGAAGGTGCAGGCAGATGTGTGATAAAAGGAGACGAATGGGAATACTAGAGAGTAAACAACTGGGACAACGTAAATAATACATTAAGCTACATTAGCACTTCCACCCTCAAAATGAATCTTATCTCTGCTCCCTAGTTAGGGAGGCTGACCCGGTGCACTCCCTACTATTTAAGATAACAGCCCCAGTAGAGGAATATGGGGAATCAGAAACAGATCAAGTATTTGCTGTCCAAATACTTTAATCCTTTTATTCTTTACAGTGTGGCCTCAAGATTTTCTCTCACTTGGTAATGTAATCTAGCCTCTGTTAAGGATATGAGACGGTCAAACTTCTGTGTTTCAATATCTTACTGTGTAAACAATGGGAAAGTGGAGAAAGAACTTTACTACTGGTATTTTTAGGGAGTTTAGGTATTTCTCTGCTACTTATCTGAAACAATTGGGCTTCTGATATTTTTCTTCTTGAGGCAAAAGAAATTTCAGCATAGTTTTACCATAGTTCTCCCTATAAGAAATTAATAAACACTCATATACCTTTAGAGTAACAATGGGTTATTTTAGAGGTTTAGACCTATTGACAGAGGAGTAGCTGCCTATAAAAGATCAGATTTCTTACAGGATCTTTCTCACATATACTGGGAAATCTCAGGAACATTTGCAATTGTAATGGGGAGAATGGACTCACACCAGGAATTTAGACAGGTATAAATTAAAAGGGATTCAGACCTTTCTACGGTCTTGGGAAACATTCATTTCCTTCATTTCCGGTTTCCCAGAGGAAAAAAAAAAAAAAAAAAAAAAAGACAAAACATTATCTGTGTTAAGAGAATGGCTCCAGAGACTACTATCAGCCCCCTAACTACATTTAAAAATGTAGTCAACGTAGAATAGCAACCAGTCAGACATAAATGTTTCTGGAATTCTCTTATGCAGATTTCACTCTCTTGTGGAATTTAAGAATATTAATAAACTGGCAAGTAAAAAAATAAAAATTAATATATTTACAAAATTGTTAATAAATCAGTGAACATCACCTTAAAAAAAATAAATTAGAAAGGACAGTCAAGCATAAAGCAATCGTTGATGATTTGCCTTTTACATACACTGACCAAGTCACCCTTCACATTTCACTGTTCAGGAAAAGGAAGGTATAACGCAACAACAGATAAATATTCTTTGATCCAGTTATGAATATACTGAATATTCTTTCAGCTTCATTCACAATTTTTCTTATTTTGAGATGATAATCTAGGGGACGTTTTTTCGATGAGAATTTATGTGGAATTTTTTTTCCCTGTTTACTCAGAAAGATTAGTTTCTAATGAAACCACGGCTTTAACCATGGGATATTATGACTCCTTCCCATGCCCCAGCCTCCATCTCTAAGGCACAACAAATCAACCACTGCACTTCAAGAAGAAAAACAATGACAAAAAACCCACCCAAAAGTAATCTGTCAAAGAGTTGTATAGTATGGTAGAAATATAAACTTGAAAAAAAGAAAAGTCCTACTGAATGAAGGGAATATCTGGTCAGATAATCATAAAAATGAAACAAAAATAATGTAATTTTAAAATACTCATTTGATAGGCATACTGTTTAACATGTGTTCTTTGAGTTTCAGCAGTTGAAAAGCCTGCATTTGCTCTGGTATATACCTGCCTGCTCTATACCTTTATCTGGATATCTGTATATATAAGCTGTATAATTTTATTTTCTTCTCTGTTTTAACAGATAGGATCTTTCCTTTTAGAGGCTTTCTTGATCAGTATCCATACTCTGAGTCACAAACTGAGCTTTGGCTTTAAGCAGTTCTAAGCTTGATATAACACAGGAAATAAAAACAGGATTCTGTGTTTTGCAATTGGATCTACATATTCTGTCAATGTTTACAGGAAAATCCCAATGAAAGGGGAGAAAAATGCTTTCAAATCCCTGCAGCTTTCCTACATACGAAATCCCCATGGGGCTAACTTCATGCCTGCGGTAGCTCCTTTCAGTCCTTATGAATACACCAGGAATTAATTGGTCCTTTGTGTCTGGGTTCTTCTATGTGCTTTAATTTTTTTCAACTCAGAGCTTAGCAAAACAAAATATTACAATTGTGCAATGACTATAATGAAGCAGGTGCTGAAATCTTTCATATTTAATGTACTTCAGCA